TGTGGATATATAATAAGTTGCTTACTATTGGCCAATTAAAATTAGTTAAAAATTTTAAAAATTTTATAATAAAAAATTAAATAATATAAAAATAAATTGTATTAATTCTAAAATATGATTGGCTGCTATATATAGAATTGCTATGGAGATGGGTCTTTATAAAAAATTAACAATTACAAATATATACAATTATATAACAGTATAGTAAAACTATTTAATTTAATATTAGCAATTAAATTAATATATAACTTTAAGAACTGAACTAGTACTGGACTAGTCAGTGCTCTATGCACTTTGTGCTCTCCTATTATAAAATCACTAATATTTCAAAATTTTACTAGAGTAACCTCTGTTTTGTGACAAAGTAAAAATGTTTTTTTTCAATTTTATACTACTTAAATCTAAATTCTTAACCCTAATCTAACTCTAATCTAACTCTAACCTAACTCTAACCTAATTCTAACTTAAAATCATAAAATTGCTATTTCAAAATTTTACTAATGTAACCCTGTTGTGTAACTAAGCAAAAATGTTTCTCTTGCAATTTTACACAATTTTGTTAACTTTAAACTAATTTTAATTTTTATTATAGACTAAATTTTTGCTAAGGCACAAAGTGCATGGGGCACTGTTTAGATTTTCCCTAATCGTAATTATATGGTTTTCTTATTTGTTAATTGGCTAAAAAGGCTAAAGATATATTAGCTATATATTTCTAGCTAAATTATTACCAAGTTGTAGTAAATTAGCTAAACTACAAAATAGTAGTTTATTTTTTGTAATTTTGTTGTATATTAAATATTATTAGTTTCTAAAAGTTTGTAAAGCCTTTAAGTATCTTGCACTTTATAATACGTATAAATTTTAAATAAAATTAATTTTATTGATCTAAAAATTATATTTAATATATAGTATATACAGTATAGTATATATTATTATAAAATTTTTCAAATCAAATATATATAGTTTATATATTCAATTTTTATATTGAATAGAATAAGACATTTAATTAATAAACAATTATATAATAATTCAGTGTTGGGCAAATTAGTGGTCGACCAAAAATTTACTGATCAAATTGGTCTGGTCAAATTGGTCAAATGATCGAACTGGTCAAATTGAACAAATCGATTATATAAATATAATAAATATATTTAAATATACTATTTGACCAATTTGACCAGTACAGATCCTTTGGTCCAATGGTCAAACTGGTCTGGTCAAGCCAACACTGATAATAATATAGTAATTAGATAAATTTGATTAAAAATATATTTACTGTATAACAGTATTTTTTGAATACATGCTGGCTAACATATAATTGGCTAAGAAATATCATGCCATTATTTGAAATTTTGGATTTGGTAAATTTTGCCGGCTAATAGCCATTTCGCCAACAATTTACATCTCGCCAACACTAAATATAAAAACAAATCAACCCTAACCTAAATTAGGATTCGGCAAATTGGTTTATCCATTTAACTAAGATTAATTTGATTTAAAATACCCTTTTTTGTTTAGAATACCAAATTTAGCGCAAAATAAAAAAAAATTAAAGATTAATTTATTCTGTTTACTTAAGCACCTTTTACGAAAATTTGGCGCCAAATTCAGTACTTTGCACGTGAGTATCATACGCGAAAAGAAGGTATATATATAAAAAATAATACAAAGATTGAAACCGAATATTTATTTCATACGTAGCAATAAAAAAAAATTTTTAATAGATAAAAACAGTTACTTTGTAAATTATAAATTTTTTTATCGATATGATTTTTAAAATTTATTAAAATTTAATTGGCTGATAATTATCGATAGTGATAAATAACTATATATATATATTTATTTACATATAATTTTTCCGGAAATTTAGAGGCAAAAAAATTATTGTCCTAGCAAAAATCTTAAACGAAAAAAACCTGGGTATTCTTAATTTGAATAAAAAATACCGTAACATGCCTATTAAACATGCACATATTTTTCTTAATAGCATAAATTTTTTCAATAATTATTTGATCTTAATAAAAAATATCGTACCATGCCTATTAAAAACATACATTTATGTGTTCAAATTTTAGCATAAATTTTTAGCATAAATTTTTTTGATCTTAACAAAGAAAAAAAAGAAGACATAATATATTGGATTTAAAATAATATCCTTTACGACGTTCCGGCTTTTGCGATTTATAATTAGACGAATCGTAATTAAATATAATTAATCGAAAGTACGATTTGTAATTAGACTATCAGGAAATTCCCAATACATATTGTTATCGTAACAAATAATGATTTGCGGGTTTTCATTATAAATATCATTCGATTGAAAATCATCTGCCAATTGCGTAGGAAAAAAATCGGAATGTTCAGAAATTGTAGGACTAGTAGTGGAAGCAGAATCATCATCATATGGAGAAGCGATATCGGGATGACAATCGGGAACCGAGAAAACGAATTGATCAATTTGTGATGTAGCGGAAATATTAGTATTAATACTAGGGTCGAGAACGAAATTTGATTCAATGGGTGATTGGATATTGACAGAATTATGGGTATTGTTTTCAAAAATAGGATTATTAGAATCAAGAGTAATGCAATCCAAATCATCACTACTCGCATAATCGTAGAACTGAGTAATGTTATTGGAAATATTAGAATTTTCTAAAGATGAAAAAGAATCCGAAGGAGTCTTGTCGGGAAAAGTTGAATATTGAGATTGATGAAGATTAATTGGTTCAACGGGAGGTTCCTTAGAGAAATCAATGGTTGACACAAAATTTTTGCAAGCATCGAAGGAGCCAAAAGAAGCAGCAGATCGACGAGCACGCTTTTCAAGATTTTTGTTTCTTCTTCTTTTACATTTTTCATGAATATCAGCATAAACCAAATCTCTAATTCTAATATCATTTAATTCTTTTTCAACATCTTTGGCGATATTTTCATAAGCTAATTTAATTTCAGGTTTTTCATTCTTCCAATGAGAGGAAACCAACCTAGATACTTCAGTCATTTTCAATTTATGTTGTAATTTTGAAAGATGATCGACAAAAGCTTTTCTATATACGAAAAAAGCATTTGGACTTTTCTTACAGATCTTTGAACGAATTCTTTTTTTTGCGATATCAATTGCACGAATTACTGGAGGGAAAGGCAAAGTGATTTGTGGTAAGGTTGGTAATACATTTGCATTATGACCATGAAATTTAGAAAGTCCAGAAGATGAATGAAATCTGTAAATTTGATACTTCATATTCATTTGGGAATTACTCATGATAATGAACGTCTTTGATAAAATATAAATATGATATATGTAAATATATATATATATATGTAAATCAAAGTTATATATATAAGAAAAAAAAAGTTTTAAGATAAAATAAAAGTTAAAGCAGAAGATTACAAATCTCCAAGCGAGAGGGAAAGTAGGTCTCTTCGAATATTTATATATTTTATTAGTGAATTAAAATTTTCCCACATTTGGGCATTAATAATGCGCCAAATTGTATTATGTTATACTTGGAAACAGCAGTGTTGTTTACTTTCTTATCAAACAGGATTGACGTAATTTAAATCTAATCTCGTCATAATTGCATTAAGATGTAATCATTAAATTAAACTTATGTATTCAATTCTTGCACGTTTTTTTTTACCTACATATATATTTGTAAAGAATGAGGCTATTCCGTTTTCTGCAATGAAGAAATATTAGAGAAGTGTTAAAACCGGTTTCACCTTTTAATTTCGAAACATTGTGATATGATACACGTCATATTACGACTTATCAAAAAGACTAATTCTATAATTGTCGGACCAGAAAGAGGGTTGAAGCGGCAAAAAAAGTGATATAATAGCATATACTTCAAAATTTATATCGGCCGATGCATTGTCGCTGGCACGCGTGTTGATGTGTAACGCAAATAATGCAGGAATACGTATTGTCCGTGTGTATCACAAAATCTTAAAAAAGGAAGCTTAATATAAAAGTAAACAAAGCATACATCCATGTACGTAGGTAAAAATTTACCTGTCATTTTACTTAGTTGTCTCAATGCTAAGTATTTGTTTTCACATATGTGTTCTTTCATAGCAAAACCAAGCTTAAAGTATATACTCTAAGCATGGTTTTGCTGTGTAAGATTTTCTTTGCACGTGTTTAGATTTATGGCGGCCGGCTGATCCGTGATAGAATAACTTTGCATTCTGATTGGCTATGTCCATTTAGAAAAATTTGTATTACTCTTTAAAAAATAAGTTTTTTCTGTACAACCAAATAAAGAATATTCTGGATTTAGGCGACAAATAAAATTCTGCGTGAACTCGTGCGTTCGATGATCTCCGGCGACGATCAATTCACATTCTAATATTCCTTTTTAGATGTTCGAAACAATAGAGACACGTCAAATTTATTGGAAAACCAATCAGAAATATAAATTTGTAATTTGTAATTATCCACCCATTATTTGGTCTCAAAACTTCAAACAATAATTTTTATTGAGACAAAGTATTTTTGGTTGTTCTTTAATAATTTAATAAAGGATTTAAGCAATTATCATCTACATTCTTTTGATATAGAATACTTTGATAATTCCCTTTTATGAGACTCTTGTATTCAATTCTTTGATTTATTGAAAACAATTCGGCTATGCAAGTTTATAATTTCTAAAACGTGGATCGAGATCATCAAATTTTAAGCATGTTTTTTTTTTTGATAATATCTATATTTAACATTTGTTAACCCACTAAAGAAAAGAAAATATCTTAATATTCTATAAGTCCGCTTTTAGATGAATTCGAATAAAAATTCCGGGTTACAGTACATGTTAATTATATTTTTCCTGATGAAACCAATAAAGATCTTACACAATTAATATTCTTGTTAACAATCCAATTGATATTTGCAGATTTGTGAATTGATATTTTAATAATAAATTTGATAAATAGTATAGTAATTGGCTACATTCTGTTTATTTAAAGCCAATTTTAGTTAGTTATCTCAAGCAATAAAAAATTTTACCGTTATTAAATAATTAATTCAAACGGGTTAATTTTTTTTAAGCATTAAAGAAAATTTTTATTATATTTTAATATTCGGCTTATAAACAAATAAATAAATAAATAAATAAATATATATATATATATATTTTTTATTGTTAATTGTTTAAAGTTAAAATTAAAAAGCCGAACTGTGGGTAAACTTTATGTAATGAAAAAACCAAAAAATTATTATTTTCGCATGGTAATTACTATATAAGTCGTAGTCAATTTTATTATTAGTTAATTTTATCAACTTGATTAGTCTAGTTTAAAAAACTTTGTTAATTTTATTGCTGTAATCAATTATATGTCAATCAAATACAGCATAAGGTTCTACTTTTTTTTAGTAAACAACTCTCTCGATATGAGTGATGCCATGCTTTTTGAATATTTATTTTTAATTTTTAATACATTAATAACCAAATAATTGAATACTAAATATTCGAATCTTCTCGTTAAGATGATCAAATGATATTAAAATACAATATTAAGTGTTGTGTTACTTGATTATAAAACGTTTTTATTTTAAAAGTAAATACTTAAAAAGTATTACTTATATATTTTCTCTTGGCATACTCATATGGTAAATCTTCGATGCAGGAAAGTTTAACAAAATCAGTTTGTAGTAAATCTATCCAACATAAGAAAGTTATTAATAATCTTAATTCAAAAAAAAGGGTTGTAAAAGTTTTATTGTGAATCCGATCAAAATTTTTCCGTTGTAAATATGTCCAGTACCCCAACTACTGTGGAAAATGAAACCTATTAAGATAGATAGAAGAAGAAGAATTATGCTTCTTAATCTCTTACAATACCCTGAACAAGTCTCTAAATAATAAATTGTTTAGATATTGTTTTAAAATTTTGTAAAAAAGAATCAAATAATCAAAATGGTTTCCGTTATTCTGAATTCTATAACGATAAATTTAACAATTACTTTAATTACGTATTTTCGCGAATTAAAGCACAGGAGTGTAATTTCAAATTTGGCCTAAATTAAGCTTATTTCGAGACATTATAACGCTCATGAGCGTTATTACGCGAAAATATGGTATCACTCTCTTCATACGATCTTGGGGTGTCTATCATCGGGTACTAACATAGTGCAGATGATATAATGATGATCCACTAATTAAGATTTTTCATTCTGCCATAGATTTATTGCGCTTTTTAATTCCTCACTAGTGATACAGGTGAATCGTCCCAATGATGCCGTAACTTTTGCCGTAACTTGCCGTAACTATCTTTGTAATATGTAATAATTATTATAAGTTACAACATTATTGCCGTAACTTTATTATGTTACGACAAGTTACGGCAAAAGTTACGGCAAGTTACGGCAATTCACCTGCACCTGCACCTGCACCTCATTTTTAATTCTACAAAAACAAAATATTTAATGAAAGGTGTCTTTATTTCGTAACAACGTCAGGATTTTATCTTACTAATTAAAATAAGTTATGGTATTTCCTATCATACAATTTACAAACATTATTCAGCAGTAAATCGTGGCCAGATTTTTTTACAAAACTCTTGAGTAAGTAAAGTAAGTAAACATAACTTATATAAAGTAAAATTATATTTGCTAATTTCTTAACGTGCTTTTTAAAGTAACGTCACTATTTTTTCATTTTACAGTACATAATACATGTTTATTCGTTCAAAAGCTTTTTTGTAAAAAAAAAACGATTTACTACTGCATATGGCCTGCGTTATGTTTGTAAATCGTATAATAGAAGACACCCCAGTAAGCCATACCATATTTTAATTGGTAAGATAAAATTCTGACTTGTTACGAAATAAAGACACCTTTCATTAAATATTTTGTTTTTTATTTTGGTTTTTTTTTTTCAGAATTAAAAAATGTTAAATATTACGTGAGGAATTAACGGCATAGTAAATTCTAATTTTTTTATAATCATGTATTTAATAAACTTGTCCGAAAAATTCACTACGTTAATCACTATACTATGTTCATTAGACCGATGATAGACACTAATACTACTCTCTTCCTGATTAAAATTTATCCTCACTATACTATGTTAATTAGACCGATGATAGACACTAATACTACTCTCTTCCTGATTAAAACTTATCCTATCTATCTTCGATCTATCCACCCTACACTAACGTTATCCCTCTTATATATGACCTATCTCCTTAAATGTTATTCTATATTTTCTTCCTTATTACTCGCGACACTTTCTTTTACAAACAAAAAAAAAGGTCATTTTACGCTCAAAACGTAAAAAAAATCTCGGTACTAACCACCGTAACTTTAGTTGTAGTATATCGTAGATTCTCATCTGTGTAATGTCTGAAATTCAATTTTTAATTTGGTTGCGGGCCCTCAACTAAATAAAAAATCTACTTGCAGATTAGCGCATATGAACATATCTATATGCAAATTCACAAAATTTATTTGTGGAACTGCATACAGTATGCATTTCAGATTTTAGTTGCGAAAATTTATAAATCATTTGCGGTCCGCCAACTCCGCAACTCAATTTCAGACATTGCATCGGTGCGTTATTTCGAATACACCCATGTGAGATATACAATAGAGTCATTTTTAAAGCCTGATTTTTACTATATTATAAATTCACCGAATATTACGTGAGGTGCGCGTTATTTGGAGATGTGCATGAACGTACGTTATTTTGAAACTGTTATTTTTAGGCCAATTTTCGAAATAACCATTGCCCACTATTTTGGGAATTTACGGCACCTCTTCTTTCTTTACCAAGCCTTAAGATCTAAATAGGAATTGATGCCAAAAAATGTCTTAAGCATATGATATTGTAGATTTCTTAACTGAAATAAAAAAAAATTTTTTTTTGACTCCGAGTTCATTCGAAATTTCAAAATTTTGGCATTACCACCATAACCTGTAGCGAAAATTTTATTTCATAGTTTTTTATTGTCATTATTGTCTTGGTTGATCGAATTTTCAGAGGTGATTTGATTATTCAACTGCATGTTTATTTTCTGTGATTTCATTACTAATGTTTTGTGGTCATGTCAGTTTATCAAAAAATAATTGAGCTTGAGAGATCAAACAATTGAAATTTTTGAAAAATCTTGTATAGTCAAAAGAGTGCCGGATGGTTTATAGCAAAGTCCTGTAAAAAAGAATTTTAGAAAAAAACCTTAAGATCCGTACAATGAACAAGGTATTGAACTATTTCATCCATGTGATTGCAGTACTAGCCAATCAAATTTATTATTTCTAGGCTT